TGGGCCTGGAGCGGTGGGCAATAACGAGTACCTGGACCACTCGTGTGACGCCCGGGACTGCTGGGCAGGCTGCTCTGCTTCCTTAGCCCTTTCCAGTGGTCTTGAAGGAGTGTTTTTGTGCAGCCCCTCGGCCACGAACTTGCCTGCAGCGCGCTGATTTAGGAGTGCAATGTTAGTAAGTGAGCTGTATTTCATTTGCAAGTGCTGGGTGGCCTTCACTTTATACACTATCACCCCAAAAATTCCATCACTTATTTACGTTTTTAATATTTAAGGGGTAAATACTTCCAAGACACATATTCCAGTTCACAATTTGTCGACGTGTCCTTCAAGCAAATCGAGAGAAGAGAACTGACTTCACCTGGGCTTTCAACTATTTCAGCCTATTTGCATTCTAACCCAAGCAAAGTGCTTAAAACAGAAGTGTTCCATCATAATTGTGCAGAGGCAATATCAGCCCTGAGAACTTTCTGAATGGAAATTTTCCATCTTGAGGGAACAAAGTAGATTCTAGACATGTTTTGGACAGCAGTACAATCACATGCTTTCCTAAAAGACTAGAATCTCCAAAATTACACTTGGACACAAGTAGAAATCCAGGCAATGTTCTCTTTTTAAGATGGTGAGATTTTTTTAATAAATATCAGTGATACTCTTAACACATGGATTCCAAGATAAATTTTGAAAAGTTAAAGAATCAAGTCAGAGACACAACACATGAGAAAGTGCAGTAACACAGACCCTGCACTGATGACTACTTGGGAGACTGAAAAAGAAGAAGTGGAAGTTTGCAGCCAGCCAGAGCAACCTAGCCTGAGATGACATCAAATTAAAAATAAATCAACAAACAAAAGGTTTGCAGAGTGCTAAATAGTAGGTGGTTTTCTGGCATATGAAGACCCTAGGTTCAATCCCCCATACTACCCCCCAAAAAATAGGCAAAGTTCACACTGGACAGTAGTCACATTACCAAAACAGAATGCAAATTTTAACACAAAAATAAAAGTGGTAGCCATGACTGGTCTGTAAACCAACACTGTGAATGGTAATTAAACTCTCAGTTTCTAGCTCTCATTAATTAAAGGCAGGCTGGCTGCCAGAACCAGGGTGAGCACCCCGCCATGGGCAGCTGCTTAGTCTCTCATTTCTACTCTGGAGACAAGCGCATTATCACTCCCATTGACAGAAAGAATTGAACCTAGCAGAGGGGAAGAGTCTGAGGCCATGGTACCTCTAGATTCTAGAATCTACAGTTAACCTTCAGTCTCGCTCCTGACCTCACACTTAGCTCTGTGGCCACTCTACCTCCATCTTTGACTTCTAGCCTCTTTCTCTAGTAGCAAAACTCTACCAAGACTGAGTCCTGGTGATGTAAAAAAGCTACCAATGACTTAAAAGATCCATCAAGAGTTCTAGGCAGCAAAAACACTGCAATATAAAAAATAAAGTTGCCACATGGACTAAGAGAAGACACATAGGAAAACTCCAGGATCTGGGGACAGCAAGGAGCCTATTTGTGGAGCATTCAACAGTGAGTGCTACCTACCACCTGTGTGTCTGGCCAGTGGGTTTATCCACCTTTGCATTCTCTGCACTCACTGGAGGCTTTGATCAGAAACTCAGGTACCACATTCTGACTAGGAGCCAGAGCTTCCCAGTTGCCTAGGATGCAGTCACTGACTTCAAGGACCTCATAACCCAGGCAAACCTAACAAACAAAAATCAGGGAAATCGCACTCTCTCTTCACTGCTATTGTGTTCTCTCCTTTCCCTTGAAAGGCAAGAGTTAATCACCCACGTCCAGAACCAGACCTTTGAGCCACATCATGTTGGTTTTCATAACTGCCCTTTAAAAGAAGTAACAAGCCAGGAGCAATCCTTAATTCATTGAATCAGAAAACGTAAGCCCTGAAAAGAACTATAAAGACAAGTCATGCCCTGAGTGTACAGGTGAGGAAACTGGGTCCTTTCTTACAGGAAATGGAATGGCTCAAACCCTTTTGGCCTCCAACGATTATGTTCTTTCCCCAGGCACCAGACAAGGCTACCTCCTCCATGACCAACCCATGTTCCTTCTGCTTGCCAGGAGAAAATGAAAAGTTTCATTGTTCATAATTTTGGATATGCTGTAACACTGTGGGTTCATATGAATTCACTCACAGATTACACTCGGTAAACCCCGGTGAGCAATTTAAAGTAAGGATACCACCCCCACTCTTGCTGGGAGGGCAAGGTGATGACCAACAGGAGGGAGGAGAGTGGGAAAGCTCATAAATTATAAGGAGCAAAGGAGTGATTTCATCAAAGTGCCAAGCTCGGCCCATGGAATGTTTCAATTGTATAAAATTTATAGTTTTCTGAGGGGGATGATTTATGGGCCCTAATTTTCCACAATGAAAAGCTCAGTGGGGATTCTGTGAATGAAATATCTTCTTAAAAATAAATAAAAAATGTAGTTTGAAATGAGGGTCAATGGTGCCACGTCTGGAGAATAACTCCTTCTCGGACCAGCTCCAAAAATGAGTCAAAGGAGAAAGACCCCATAAAATATGTGTGATTTAAAAAGGCATAGGAAGTTGTATCATAAATAAGCATACGCGGAGAAGCATATCTGGTCCAATTCATTCAATGGACATGATTTTATCACTGAGTTTCCATGAAGAAAGAAAAATGGATAGGAGTCTAAAGGTTTTAACAAAAGCTAGAGTGTTTAAACAATGGGGGAAGAGAGGAAGCAGAAAGAAATGAAATCTTGTTAAGAATTATTAAATAACTGTGCCTTATGTTCAGAGGAGAAAACTTCCCTATGTGTCACTCTCATAACCTTAATCAGCATGGGATCCAAACCTGGATTTCATGAGAATTCTCAGTCTGTTCCCTCAGCATGGACTTCCTCAGGGAATCTGGGAGGAGCCATCACTCTGTGCATAGATGCAGCCCAAACCAGGCCTGTGATGAGGACAGGCCACCTCGGCACAGCCCCACCTGCATGAGGGCTCATTCTTGACACTGATAGCTCGATCTTGGCTTCCTCCTAGCAGCTTCCTCTTCCAGCGGGCTCCATTCCTGTTCTTCCCAGATATTGTCCTGCCCAACCATCTGGCCAACTTCTCCAAGAGCCCGAATAAACTTCACCTAGTGGGTCATGTGTCCACCGCCAATAAGAGTAGGGCTTGAGCTGCCCATAACACCTTGCACTGTGACCACACAAAGAGAAGTCACCTAAACACAAGCACACATACACACACAAACCCCAACTGGGGCCTCCCTGAGCACCATCTCCACAAGCCACAGCCTCTTCTTTAACCAACATCATCTCAGTTATAATGTTGATAATTTAATAACTTGAACAAGAAGATCAGCGTGTCTTTAGTTTTATTTTAAACACTCTTAGTGATTTTCTGGATGAGTTTCAATCTCCTATATTTGTACACTGTCTGCTTCTTTCACTTTAGGGGTGGGTATAGTCTAAGGCAATTTTTCTATGAACCCCAGTTCTTGTAATTCACACCCTTGAGTAATCCTATCCCTTCAAAAGCATGTAGGGCATATGGTCAATAAGATGTAGCAAAGGGGAGGTGTCTTTCCCCAGATTACACTACTTTATAAGAGACTATTTTACTAACAAACTCACCAGAGACTTCTCCCAGTTGCTGGCTTGGAAGAAAGAGGCTGCTGTTGTGAGCCATGTAAGTGAAACCAGCACGGAGGCAGCCTCTACTTTTTAATTGTGGTCTCCATCTGACAGGTAAAAAGGACTGAAGTCTTCTGTCCTACAACCACAAGGAAAGGGTGTTTGCCAAACCTGATCTTACAGGTAGATACAAGCCCACTCAAGGCTCAGATGAAAACCAAGTGCAGGAAATGTTGTGAATGCACCACTGAAGAGCCCCGTGAAGCCTAGCTCCTGACTCTGAGAAATTATAATGCATGTGTGATGGGAAGCTACTGTGCTATGTCCCTCGTGCACAGCAGTGCATAGTCTTGGCTTCAATGGCGCCTAATGTGAAGACTGTTGTTCCTACCATGCCCCACAGGACAAGCTCTAAGAATTGCTTAACCCCTGATGTGAAGAATCTTATGATCTGGGGGCCAGGGAGATGGCTCAGTGGAATAGGCGCTTCCCTGGCAAGCACAAAAGCTTGAGTTCAATCCCCGGTTCCGCTAAAAAAAAAAAAAAGAGAGAGAGAGAGAGAAAAGATATTCATTTGGGGCTGGAGAGATGGCTCAGTGGTCTAAAGCACCTACTTAGAACAAGCTTGGCAAGGCATCAGGGACCGCGGTTCAATCCCCCAGCACCACATGCCAGCCAGCCCTGCCCCCTGGTGGGCTGAGCTGGCCACACACACACACACCTCTCTCTCTCTCTCTCTCTCTCTCTCTCTCTCTCTCTCTCTCAAATAAATAAAAATAAAAATAAAAAAATAAAAAAAAATTTAAAAAAAATAAAAAAAGAATCTTATGATCTGGATAAAAAGGACACACAAAATTAAACAATAAAATATGATAAATAAGAATTTGTTAAGATAGCTTAAGTCAAACTGCCAAATAAAGAAGACAAGAATACATTTTCTAATTGCACCAAGTTGAGGCTCCTGGGTCCCCCGAAGAGCTTATGACAGAAGTAGTTGGAGTCACATTCCCACCGTTCCCACAGCTCACTTTGAACACAGCTTGCTTAGGCAGAGACAAGAAGTAACACCCTGGAAACAGCCCGTATAACACCTTTGAGAAACTATTAACTCACCTGGATTTCAGTAGAATGAAAATGCCATTATCCATAGGATCAAGAATCACACGACCCAATAAATACATGCCTTAGTCAAGTTACTTTCTCCCTAATCATTCATGCCCTCAGTTAAAATACAGGAAAAAACTTGAGGGATCCTCATTAGGTTGTTCAGAAAGTCAAATGACGAAAAACCTAGTGCACAGCACAAACAATGACTTGATAGATGTTCCCTGTTACTGTCGCCCGTAGGACTTGCCTAATGTCCTCCAAGAGGTGTGCCATCACTGGGAGTCATGCAGTGCCAGGTCTGTGCATGGAGAGGGGGGCCAGGCTCCTATCGCATCTCTGCTCCAAATGTCCATTTAATACATTGTCCTTGGAGAGGAAATACGTCAGAGGCTAAACAGACAAGAATAGATGCTACATTTGATCTTGGCCAAAAGGTAGAGCAGCTACACCAATAAGACTTCCAGTGTTCGCAGGAAGGGTGTGCAGGGCAGGACAAGCACTCTACTTCTACCAGAACTTGGCCAGCTCCAAGGCTGGCCACATGTCTCAGCCTCTCTCCCAGCACCCCACCACGCTAAGAACTGCACCACCTGTGTCCTCGCCAGCCTTGCCAGTGCTTTGATACTATCTTGTTACTTTTTCTTGTTGCTGAGACAAAATATTTGATGCCCCAAATTAAGGAAGGAGAGGCTTGTTTAGCACACAGGTTGTGGAGGTTTCAATCCTTACTTGGTTGGCTCCAAGGCAGAGTGGCACGTGGCAGAGGACAACAATTCATGGCAACAGAAAACAGGCAAAGCAGGAAGAGCAAAAAAAAGGAGGAGTGGCCAGAGCAAGCCTCTTTCCCTCCCTTATACTGTATGCAGGCTTCCGCAACCAGGGCAGCTTTAACACTTACACTCATGATCCCAGCACTGGATCTGGATCAAGCACAAACACTAGAAGTTCACGGCCCCTTGACTACATGAGACCGTGGGAGGGCAGCTAGACACAAAACGTAACACATCCCAATGAAGATTCCCTGGGCAAAGTCTTGAGAAGCTCTTAACTCCCATAAGATCCCTCTCCTGAGGCGCTTCTGTCTTGTGCTTTTGTTCTTCAGTGTTTTGGCCTGCATCTCAGAAGGACCAAGGGAACAGGAGAGAAATGGATGGATACTGGTTAAAATTCTGACCTCTATTGTGTGTCAAACTACTGTGATTTCAGTTACAGAATGGAATCCTACCTTCTCCAACTTCTGAGGACTCTCCCCTAGCCAGTTAGTGTGATTCAACCTTTCACTGTTTCTCGAAATACATCTGTGAGTTACCACTGATGCATTATTTTCTTATTTTCTCTCAAGGTTCACCTTGAGGGAGTCAATAGCAGTGATCAATAATGATAGTGATAAGCTGAGGAGGTCCCATTGATTAACATTTTCATGAGCTACCATGGGAAAAGCACACAACACCTCTGCTGTCCCAAAAAGTCAAGTTTATAATGTGTTGCCTCTATGGGGTATTTAGAAATAGAAAGCATATGCAAGTCTTCTAGAGAGTTGGTGGAATTTACAGTCTTCCTATTGTTCAGCAATGACACTGGAACATAAGTGCCCAGGAGTTTACTGAAACAGGGACATCTGGTCATGCATTGCACACACAATTGGCATCTTGATATATTCGAGTCGCAGTGTGTTTTCATGCAGACAATTGGCATCTGGCTCAAATGTTGAAAAGTCTGGAGGGAAATGGAGATGCCAATAGGAAATCAAAAGAAATGAGAAGCGTGGGGAATGGTCTTCCTCCCAACCCAAAGCTACATGGAAAGGCTGCAGCCCCATCAGATGATCAGCTGTCCAACTCCCAAAGCTCAGTGTGCCTTCAGGGTACTTTTACTTAAAATTAATCCAGAATGTTGTTTCCTTTACATAAATGAAAAAGACCTGAACAACAGAGTTGGTTTATTTTAAGAATCGAAGGCTTTAGAGGGAGGATGTGGTGGGAACGGCTTGCGTTCTGTTGCTCTTGAGTTCCCAGCTGTTCTTCCTCGGGCAGCTGCACAACCTCTCTTCATGCTGGCTTTCTCATCTACAGTATGGGAGCAGACAAACTTGCCACTTTACTGCGCTCAGCACTAGGGATTTAAGAATAAGATAATGTCATCCATATAGGCTATAAAATTTGAAACATTGGCTTCATTAAGCCATTTTGCGAATGAGGTACAGATTATCACTGATTTCAAAACCATGATTACTAACTACATTAGACACTTTTTGTCTGCCTGGGAGCACATCTTCTAGAAACTGTCCCCTCAGCTATAACTCTTCTGTTCCTCTAACCCAGAGTTTATCAGTTTAAGAGAAGCCACTATGCTAGGCTAGCATGAGCCTGGCCTGGATATGGATGATTGGGACAACGTTTCAAAGGCTTAGCTGTATTTCTGCTCTCAGGGTATGTGTTGCAATGGTTGTGGTTTACATCTAGATGTCACCCTGTGGCCTCTCGTGCTCACAGATGCATTTTGTGGAAGTGACTGGATGGGGGATTCTTCCACTAACGAATTTATAGCCAAATGTGACTTGGGGAGGTGAAGCCAGGTGGAAGGAGGTGGATCACAGGGACGTGCTGCTATGGTCTGTCTAGGCAACCGCAAAGCTTCGTGCAGCCGTGGGTGCAAGGTTCTAGAGTTTGTGATTGATTCATGGGCCAGTACTAGGATTATGGATGTGAGTACTACACACTCCTTGGGGTGGGCAGCCAGCACACAACATAAGAGAGGAAAAGAGGCTTGTTTTTTCTGCTCCTCCCTGTCTGCTATTGCTGCTTTTGCTTTTTTCTACTGCCATGAACTGCTGTCCTCTGCCATGTGCCACTCTGCCTTGGAGCCACCCATGTAAGGACTGAAACCTCCACTAACTGTGAGCTAAATAAACCTTTCCTTCCTCAATTTGGGTGTTGGGTATTTTGTTCCAGCAAGGAGAGAAGAGTCACTGAGACACATGCCCTGGAGGCATCTACCTCCTCCTCCCTTGATCCTGCTTGGCTTCCTGATGCCGTGAGCTCCTCCTTTACCAGACTCCTCTGCCATGTCTCCCTGCCTTGGAGCCATTTGACAATGGACTCAAACTTCTACAAACTATGAGTTAGAGTAAACCTTTCCTCCTTAGGGTTGCAGGTGTTGGGTGCTGTGTCTCAGCACTAAGAAAGTAACTAAGACAAGTAGCAGAACTATGTAGCAAATGCCATGTAGGACATTTCCTTGTTCAAGTTTATTCAAGATGGTTTTCTGTCACCTGTAGCAAAGCTTTCTAAAACAAGCTAAGAATGCAATAAAATGGACAAAGCAATACTATTTTTAAAGGAAAATGTCAGAAAGGAAATAACAGTGCCTAACAGAAAATGTTTCTGAGCTGCTAAAATTTCAGCATTACACTACCACACAGCATCAAGTCAATGACAGTCCTGGAGTGGTTTGAAATGCTGGATTGTGTGAAATGCTCACCACACAAGACACTGAAGTGATCCTGTCTCTCATTTCATGAGACGGAAGTAAAGGGAACTCAAGAATCTCTTACTGGCTTGGCTCTCCCATCTGAGAACTCCAACTCCAGGGAGTGTTTGTCAACCACAGCAAAGTCCCCTGACTTTTAAAGCAAAAGTCTGCACAAAGTGCCTGGGGTGCCACTACCTCCAGATGAGGACAGCTGCTAGCAGCTCTGCCCCTGGCCCCATACCCACCATGGACACACCCTGCCAGGCACACACTCAACCAGGCGACCCAGGGCTTCCGGACCCAGAATCACTGCTCTCTTTCCATTCCATGTTAGGAGTCTGCCTGTTTTCCATTTTGATCTCTGGGGTTAAAATAATATCAATAATGGGTTATTGCACTGTTTTCCATGGTTCTGGAGTTTTCCACATGCTACTCTCTGCTCATTTCTTTCCTTGGGCAGCCTACTGCTCTGTCTTGCCCTCACAGAAATGCTTCCACATTAAGCCGGAAGTCTGATTATTCTTCCTACCCCCTCAGTGCTCAGATCTCTGGCTTATTCCACTTCTAGACTATGTGCTTCTTGAAAACAAGAAGAGTATTTCTACTCTTCTTTGTGTCAAACCAAACCCTCCATCTCCACCTCCAACACCCAGCAAGGTACCAAGCATTCACTCAGCTTCTGAAAGTATTTGTCAAGCAGAGGTGCACGCCTGTGCCCAGGAGCGAGCCCTCATGGTTCTCCGTCCCCCCCCCCAACCTGTCTCTGCCTCCTGGTGTACTGGTATTTCACATTCAGGTTTGATCCCTGATGAACCTATTTTATTTGGTGCTCTTACCTCTAAAATTGTCTTCATCTTACCTTTGGCCTGGATATCTTCCTTGTAAGTGAAGAGCTTAAAGTGAAAGACTGGGTCATACGTACAGTCGTGTCCCTGGCACTGATTATGCCACCTCCACAGCATGTTTATATCCAGCATCATGGTAAGTATCCTTCACAAGTGGAAGTTCCCAACCTCCACATTCAAGAATGGAAACCTAGCTTTCGAACCTCATCATAAAATATTCTTCCAAAATAAGGTACTCACCACATAGTAAAATATTTACACCTTTTCTAATACTGCTGGATGCTTTCTCAATTATTTAATCTTCAACATCAAAGTAATGTTGGCTGAAATTACATCATATTTGATGTAAAGGATTTTAAGCTGAGCGTGGCGGTGCATGCCTGTAATCACGGTACTCAGGAGACAGAGGCAGGATGGAGTCAGAGGCCAGCCTAGGCTACACATTGAGACTGGGTCTCAGGAAGAAAGGAGGGAGGAGGGAGAGAAGGAAGGAAAGACTTGAAAAATTAATTGAATGGCAGGCAAACTTAAGAGATTTAGTCTGTAAGCAGGCTCTTGAGAATAACATTATACTGTATGATTATAAGACAGAAATTATAAATGGAATAAAATCTCCAGTGTCACCCTCTGACTAAATCAAACAATATTATAATCCAAGCAAGTGAAGAGAAAGATCATTTCATATAGGAAACTTTTATAAGGGGTTCAAATAGTTCTTCTAAGGATAAAAATCACACCAGCATTGAAGAATTATGCAGAGAATTTAGTAAAATTATCTCATGAAAGGATATGAAATATAGTTCTACATCAATATATTATTTTATACAAAATTTGGTATATGGGCAACTCATCAACCACATATCACAAGCATAAATTACCTATTTTGTCTAAAAAGCATTAGAAATGACACAAAATTTCACTAAACAAAGTAATAAGAATCCAATAGCAGCACAATTTTCCATAGATAAATCTTGGAAACAACCCAAATGCCCATTAACTGAGGAGTGGATAAAAAAAAGATGTGGTATTTTTACACAATGGAGTACTACTCAGCTATAAAAAAGATAAATTTAAGGCTTTTGTAGATAAATGGTTGCAACTAGAGACTATATTGGTAAGCAAAATAAATCA